AGAGGCAGGAGCTGCCTTGCTTGGGTCTCGGCTCTGCAAACACCTCAGTGCCGCCAGCTGCTGGGCCCGCTTTGCAGAAGTCCACTCATGGGACTGCAGGGTGGATGTGGCCCTGGGTAGGGGCACTGTGGACTGCGCAGCGGTAGGTAGATGAGGCAAGAAAGGAATTCAGGCACAGGTGTCCTTGGAGCACTCTCCTGCCTCGGGGTCACGCTGTGCGGTGGCGGGAGCCACTCTAGCATCCCCTTCTTGAGGTCACACTGAGATGCCTGCCTGTCAGAGACACTGCACTGGGTGCAGGAAGTGTGCTCACCTGCTCTTGGTGTCACACTGGGAGTTCTGGCCCAGGCCTGGGTGCTTTGGTAGCCTAGATTGGGTGGTCCTCAGCGGCACAGTGGCCTCTGAGGTGCCTGGTTGCACCTGGAGCAGGATCTCCGACTGCTTTCTGGAAAGGCTGTGGGGGCCTCTCCCCTCCCCACCCCCAGTGTCCTCACCCTGCCCTGCTGAGCCTTCAGTGTCTGGGGCTGGAGGACAGGAGCACAGGACCCCTCAGGAGTCTAGGGACCAACCCCAGGGTAGGATGAATGTGGCTCTGGCCCTGTGTCTCAGATGTCTTAGGCCACACTGCCAGAGCTTAGGGCCACTGCGTGATGGGAGCTGTGCTGGGCTCTGGGTGACCTTGGAACCTGTGACCCCATCTTCCTGTTCGCTGAGGCGGGCAGTCAGCAGCCTCACACACTCAGTCTAGTGGTGGGGTGAGCCCAGGGGACCCGGGGGCTTTCCTATAGGGAGTGGCACACAGGGTGACTGGGACAGCAAGAGGGTCTGTTGATGCAGTAGCATAAGAAGAGCAGGACAGGGGCATGTGACCTCTGCAGGGCCAGGCACCTGCAACCCCGCTTGCCTAGTGCCTGCTGGTCTCATCTGCCAGCCAGGCCCCAGGTGGGTAGGTGGGGCCTGAGGTCCTGGGCCACTCTGGGCCCTGACAGCACTCCTCCTGTAGAGGTACCTGGTGCCTCAGGCCCGCACCCTGTGTGGCCTGGACGAGAGCAAGGCCAAGCTGTCCTCAGATGTGCTGACCCTGCTCATCAAGCAGTACTGCCGGGAGAGTGGCGTCCGCAACCTGCAGAAGCAGGTGGAAAAGGTGAGCGGCGACTCTGCCCACTGGCCCTGCTCCTGCCCCGATCTGCCCCCTCCACCCCGCGCCGCCCACCTGCACCCCGCTGTCCACCCAGGTGCTGCGGAAGTCGGCCTACAAGATTGTCAGCGGTGAGGCCGAGTCTGTGGAGGTGACCCCCGAGAACTTGCAGGACTTTGTGGGGAAGCCCGTGTTCACAGTGGAGCGCATGTATGACGTGACGCCGCCGGGTGTGGTCATGGGCCTGGCCTGGACCGCCATGGGTGAGCTGGACCCCAGGGCTGCAAGGGTCTGTAGCTCACCATCCCTTTGGTTGTCGTACTGAACACCTTCCCCCTGAGGGACCATGTGGAATGAAGCCCAGGGATTTGGAGCTAAGCAAGAAAAAAGGTGTGGCAGCCAGCAGTGTTGTGACACCTGGGAGGGTGGGGGCGGCCCCCAGTCTGAGCCCACCCTGACCTAAGGGCAGGGAGCTGGGGAGTGGGCTATACTTGGCAGCAGGGCAGCCTGTGGGTCCCAGCTGAGGGCAGCATTGGTTCCTGCGGGGGGGGGGGGGGGGGGTCTTGATGGCCCCGGGCAGAGAGGGCCGGTGGTTGGCCACGGGTGGGTGCAGGTTCTAGGCTGCGCAAAGGAGGTTCCAAGTGACTAGGACCCTGCTTGCTCAGGCTGTGTCCACCCAAGTTAGTGCTCTGCAGAGGTGGGCTCTGGGCCATCCATGACCTGCCTCCCTGGAAGCAGTAGGCGGCAGAGGCAGGTTTTCAGGACCCACTGGTGGTCACGGCTCCACACCCTCCTCCAGGAGGATCCACCATGTTTATTGAAACGTCCCTGAGGAGGCCACCATTCAAGGGCAACAAGGAGGACCAGGACGGCAGTCTGGAGGTGACAGGCCAGCTGGGGGAGGTGATGAAGGAGAGCGCACGCATTGCCTACACCTTCGCCAGGGCCTTCCTGATGCAGCAGGACCCCAGCAATGGGTACCTGGTCACCTCCCACATCCACCTGCACGTGCCTGAGGTGAGCTCTCCCCTCTGCCACCCCCCAAGATCCTTCCTGCCGCCCCCAACAGTGGCCACCTGCCCACCTATGTCTCCCACCAGGGTGCCACCCCCAAGGACGGTCCTAGTGCTGGCTGCACCATCGTCACGGCCCTACTGTCCTTGGCCATGGATCAGCCCGTCCGGCAGAACCTCGCCATGACGGGTGAAGTTTCCCTCACAGGGAAGATCCTGCCCGTTGGTGGCATTAAGGAGAAGACCATTGCAGTGAGTTTCCAGACCCTCCACGGGACAGGCCGTGGCCACCACTCCTATCACACCTATTGGGCAGGCTGGCCTCCTGGGCCCAGAGCCCAACTTGAGCTGGCTGTCCCAGCTGCTCCTTCAGCCCTGTTTTAGACAGTGGACAATCCCTATTGGTGTGGGGTCTCCCATTGGCACCCCTGCCCCAGGTATCATGAGGTGGGGCTGGTGTGGAGCAGGGGGGGTATGGGTGTGTCCCAGATGACCCAGAAACGAGGGACCACCACCTCCCTAGGCTGTGGGGGGCCCAGGGTCCTGGACCTGGCACTCAGCATCCTTGTTTCCAGGCCAAGCGTGCTGGGGTGACGTGCATCATCCTGCCCTCGGAGAACAGGAAGGACTTTCACGACCTGGCGGCCTTCATCACCGAGGGCCTGGAGGTGCACTTCGTGGAGCACTACCGGGAGGTCTTTGACATCGCCTTCTCCTGCCCTGGGCAGCAGGCAGAGGCCCTGGCTGTGGAGCGGTGATGGTTGCAGGCAGCAGGCCCAGCCTCGACTGAACTGTACGCTTGGGGAAGGACGGCGGGCCTGGCAGCAAAGCCACCCACCCATTGGCTTGGCCAGGTGACCTGGGTCCCAGGTCCTCAATTATAGCTTGATCATGGAGACCGGTGCGATCATGATTAAAGAGCATTTCCAGGACCACTTGGCTGCCTGCTTCTGTGTCAGCTGCCTGCCCCCGGGCATGTCTGTCCCCAGCAGATGACCCCCCACACCAGGACGCAGGAGCCATGGTTTTCTGGGATGGTTTATTGAGGAAAGGGGGCTCAGTCCTTCTTGGCAGCTGCCTTTCTCATGGCGGCCAGGACGTTGCTCAGCTCCTCTCGCTTCCTCTTGGCCCGGATGTGTGTTCCCACCTGTGCGGCAAGAAGGCCACCCATCAGCCTGCGCCCCGGGTCCCCTCGCGGCGCACCCCCGTTAGCAGCCCACCTACCCTTTTCTTGATGAACTTGAGGGCCCGTTTGTCCTTGGAGACCTTGAGCAGCTCCATGGCACGACGCTCGTAGGGGGCAAAGCCACACACCTCCCGGATCATGTCCCGCACGAACTTGGTGTGCTTGGTCAGGCGCTGGGGGCAGGGGCGGCCGTCAGGGCGGGTCCGGGCCGGGACGCACCCGGCCCCCTGCACTCCAGTCCCCAGCCTGCCTGCCCCCGGCTGCCGTCCGCAGTATCGCGACACGGGACGGCGGTCCCCGGCCCAGGGCCCATGCCCGTTGCACACACCCGAGCCTCGCGCCGACGCGGTCCGCCAGGGCTCGCGCCTCTGCCCGGAAGGCCCCGCCGCTCCCAGCACTCACCCCGCGGCGGCGGCTGTGCCTCGGCTTGCTCACGTTCTTGGTCACCTTGTGGCCCTTGTTGAGGCCTACGGCCATGGGGTAGCGCAGAGCCATGGCTGAGGGAGGCGGTGGGGAGAAGGGCTGGGGTGAGTCCCGGCAAGGCGCCCGCCACCCCGCGCCGCGGCTTCCTCGAGCACGCTCGCCGGGCCCAGCCACCCTCCAACCCGCCCAGCGGGCCTGCGGGCCCGGATGGCGAAGGATGAAGAGTCAGGCGCTAACGAACTCACCTGCTGCTCTCCAATGGCTCCCGGAGCGGAAGGGCCGGCGCCACACGGAACTCTGGGATATCTACTCGCTGCTGGAGGCGCGGACTAGAGAGGCAAGAAGAACGCGCGCGCCCCCTGGCGTCCGGAGGCTCCCTGAGCATGCGCGTTGACCCCGGGACCAGCGGACGTGGTTGTGGTGCCTCAAAGGCCGCTGTGTTCGAAGCTGCAGCTTGTTGGTTAACCCGGAAACAGCAACTTCACCTCCCAGGCCTCCCAGTTTTTCCATATGTCAGGTGGCACGAAAAAACCTCCATCAACGGGTTTATTGATTTCACGAAGGGAGTGGTCATAGTGCCTCCTGGTGGCATTTGACGTGTCGTAAGGTCGTGCCGGGATGCCAGGCGGAGGGATGCCTGCTGAACAACCTTGAATCAGGAGGTGGAAACAACAAAATCTAGGAGTTCTAGATTTCCGCGCCCCCTTTACCCCTTCTTCTGTCAATCTTACTTGTCTCTAAGAGACAGCCTCCGTTTGGGACTGGTGTGACGAGGACAGTCTTTCTTGGACAGAGCCCTGGACAGCTCAGTAGCAGCTTTTTGCAACATTGTATCCATGCCAGTTATTTTTTACAATTGCTTTATACCAGCAGCACTGGCTTTCCATTTCGACAAGGAGCGTCCGTTTTTAATTGACAGATGTGCAGCTATGGCCCTCATTAGCCCAACCTCCCTAAGCTACAGCGTCATCCTCAGAATGGGAACAACTGTAAGACCCAACTCCAACAGTGAGGCCTAAGATCCTTGACCTCAAGGGCCTGGGGCGTGGGTACACTATTGCTGACGCTGCAACCAAGTCCTGCAGGTCAATCAGTGCCCCTGCCTCTCCCACTGACTTCCTGAGGGGAGCCCATCCTGTCTGTCTCCATTTCTCCACCTACAAAACAGGTTGATAGTTCTAGCCCCTCTCCCGGCTCCTAGAAATTGGAAGGCAAAAGGAATTTGAATAATAGATATATATACATATGCAAGGGAAGACCTTTTATTATGAAACGGGAGGCTGAGTCTAGCCCAGAATATGCTCTTCTCCTCTTCTTCCCACCTGGCCATCAGGTGGACAGCAGGCGTCAAGAGTACCAGAGACCCTACTGGGGGTGGGAAATGCTCCCAGTTGGAATCAGTGGAAAGAATCACCTGAGACTTAGAGGCTCCCAGAGGTGACTCAGGGCATCCACCTCAGGCGACCTGGGGAGGGAGCATCACTTTTCTGGAGACTGTTTCTTGTTTGCACAATGGAAGCAATGATCATGTCACCAGTGACCTCCAAGAAGCCCACGTCTGGGCTGCTGCCTTCCAAGACTGAGGGGTGCCGAACACCTACAGTTTGTTTCCAGGTGCCCGCAGATATTCTTCTGTTTGGCTTTTGCCCTGATGACTCCATCTTGGACTCCGGCCACCCTCTCGGAGGTGTCTTTGTTAGTGTCCCGACTCCAGGAACAGCTGGATGGTACCTCCCGTCTGGGAAGACAGGAGCCCCCCGGGACTCAGGCTGCAACTGCGGAGATGTTGAGGTCCTGGCGAATGAACCAGGCCCTCGGGTGCGGCAGCCAGCCTCGCAGCAGACAGAGCAGGTGCAAGCGCCACGGGTAGAAGACACAGGAGGCTCGTGTAGCACCACCTCGGATCACAGCCAGGGCCGCCTTGGGTCCCGGGGACGCCTTGGCTCTCATGACGCCCCTAGGGAGGGAGATGGTAGGGACTGCGGTGGGTTCCCACGGTATGCAACCGATGGTTCCCTGCTCGCACCCAGGCCTCACCTGACTCCCTCCACAGTGGAGGCCGGATCCCAGAGGCCCAGGACGCACATGGTGATGGCCACATTCACGTCCTGAACATCCAGCTCCCTCCGCAGGGAGCCGAAGAAGCTGTCCAACGCGAACTTGGCCGCTGAGTAGGGGGTGGAGAAGGACACGGGCACACGGCCTAGGGGCGCAGGAGGGCAGCTGCTGAGGGGCCACAAGATGCTCCTCTTCTTCCAGGGAGCCTTCCCACCCCTCCGCTTATCCCGCACGAAGCCCGTCCTCTCCAAACCCCTCCCCCAAGAGCTAGAGCCACATGCACGCACCGAGCAACGTGGACACCACCACCAGGGAGCCCTTGCTGTCAGTCAGGCTGGGCAGCGCCAACTTAGTCAGTTGCACATAACTCAGGAAGTTCACCTGCAGGGGGCGACGGCGAGTCACAGGGCAGAGGCGGGGCCCGGCCAGACGGGCGGGGCCCGAGGACACAGGTGGAGGGGTACGGGCTCCATACTAGGGCGGAGCCAAGGCCGGGAGGGGCGGAGCCTAGGACCCAAAGGGGCGGGGCCCGGACGTCCCCCGGGAGGAGCCGAGGAGGGAGGAGCGCCTTTGCACGCGGGGCAGAGCCCTGGGCTGGGATAGGCGCGCTCGGGCGGAGGGCAGGGCGAGAAGGGCCAGGGCCGCAGGCTTCGGGGAGCACCTGCACGAGCCAGCGCGTGACCTGGGCGCTGCGGGCCCGCATGCCGGCCGGAACGCCGCCGAGGTGGTTCAGCACGAGGTAGTCCAGACCCCCTGGCCCAGAAATGCCGGTCAGCGCAGGGCTGGCCCGAGGCCCTGCCCGCTGGGCTGTACGAATCCCCGCCCCCCACGGGTGGGGTTCGGTCCGGAGCGCCGAGGTCCTCGCGGCAGGTAGCACCCCCCACCCGGGAGATCAAAGCGTTTCTCTCCTGGCGTCCTGCAAGTTTTCGCCCCGGTGGTAAGCCTCCACCCCTGGTAGTGAGCCTCGCCCCCTGGTGGTAAGCCTCCATCCCTGGCCGCGCCCCAGGCCCCGTGAGTCTCCGCCCCCAGACACCCGCCCCAATGCACCCCACCCCAGTTCCGCCGACCCTAAGGCTCAGGCCAGGGTAGTCTGCTCCAGACTCCAGGCCCCGCCCTCACCCAGCTTGTCCAGCGCAAACTGCACCACGCGCTCGGGCGCCTCGGGGGAGGCCATGTCCGCGGCGATGTAGAAGACGTTGGGGGCGCCCAGCTTCCGGCAGTTCCCCACCACCTGGGAGGCCAGAGCTGCCGGTGGGCCTCTCCTCCCCAGCCGCGCCCCCTGCCGGCCACACGGAGGATCCCACCTGAAGCCCCGCCTCTATTCTGAGCTCAGGTCCCAAGGGCATCCTTCTCGATGCTTCTCACAGGTTCGAAACCTGCTGCCGCGGGCCAAAAAGAGCCACTCACCAACACCCACGTCCCCGGGGCTCCACACAAGTGTTCTGATTTCTGGCTTCTCTCGGGCATTCCCCCAAGCACTAACAGCTGTTGCTAAGGAGGGCCCCAGGCCATCAGCACGGGGAACACTCAGTACTCCCCTTCCTGAAGGGCACTTCCTGCTTTCCACTCCTTCACTGTGCTCAGCGCAACCAGAACCCAAGGGAAGGTCTGTGTCTCCATTTTGCAAATAAGGAAACTGGCTCAGAGAGGTTAGGCGACTTTCCCAAGGTCACATAGGAAGCCCATGACAGAAGTTCAAACTTAGATCTTCTTTCTCCTCACGAGCCCCCAGCCATCCATCTGGAAATGGGGTGGCTCACCTTCTGCAGGAGGGCCTCGGCCTGAGCAGTGAGCACCAGGTGGGAGCCCAGGCGGGCGTAGTGATAGGCCAGCTCCTCACCAACACCAGCGCCGCCCGCAGCCCCGGTCAGCAGCACGCGGGCTCCCTGGAGACGGGCTGCAGTGAGCAGGGGGGTCAGGCAGAGCCGGCGGGATTCCTCCCGCCCCACACCCTGGGCGCTCACCTGGCTCAAAGTTGTCGTCCCAGAAGTAGGCGGAGAACAGGGCCCCCAGCCCCGTGAGGAGCAGCACCTTCATGGCCTGGGGGCCTGAGCCGGGAGGGGCCGGCCGCAGCCACACCTGTTTGGTGGGCCTCCATTTGATGAGCATCTGGTAACAGTGTGGCCCTGGCCCTGCCCCTCCTCTCCCCCTCCATGGCGACCACTTGGTCCAGCCCCCCACTATCCTCCACCTGAACTAGGGACCACTTTTCAGTGACCCCACTTCTCAAAGCCTTCTCCCTCCACCCAACAGGCAAATCGCAGCTTCCCTCCCCTTTGATAAACTCATTTAGGACAGAAGCCAGAATCTTGATGCCCAAAAAGCTGTGTGGACAGGACCGTTCTCCCCTCTGCTCCACTCCACTAGCCTCTTCTCTGTTCCCCAAACCGGCCACAGCCAGCCGTCACCCTGCCTCAGGACCCCTGCGCTGGCACTGCCATCGGCCTCTTGCTTCTTTCAAGTCTCAGCACAAGAGTGACCTCCTGTAGAGATGCCATACCCTGAGCCGCCTCCCTAGAGCTGCTGCACCGCGGCCCTCTCCCTGACCCCGTCTTCCTCCCCATCTCCGCACTTGTCCTGGCCTGGAAGCACCATTAATTCCTTAGTGTTCACTGCCCCCTCTCTCCCCCAGACGGTCAGCACCTTGAGGGCAGGAAGAAGACAGAAAACTGCTTCTGTTTTCCTCACTGTAGGGCTGTTTGGTTTTTGGTACCAGGAAGTTAAACCCAGGGGCACAGCCCCTGAGCCCCAGCCCCAGCCCTTTGATGTTCTCTTCTTTGAGCCAGGGGCTCACTGCATTGCTCAGGGCCTCGATAATTCCTGGGCTGGCTTTGAGCTCGCCAGCCTCCTGCCTCGGGGTCCTGAGCCACTGGATTAGAGGTGTGGTCCACTGCACCTGGCTGTTGGTCTTCAGAACCCAAAGCCATACCAGGTATTCAACAGGTGCTCAGTAGACCCTAGGTTGACACGGAGTGCTATGGGGAATGGATAGGCAAGAGCTGGAGGAGACCAGAGAGACAGGTCTGTCTGGAGACACCAGAGGGCTGGACACAGAAGTGCCCTGTCATGGGGTGAAGACATGCCTTCAGTGTGGGGGAGAAGGAGGAAGAGGGCAACAAGCCAGATTCCTCAAGTTCTGGGGACCACGGGTCTCCCACAAGCCCATCCAACCTTGGGGTTGCTATCCTCTGAAGTCCACGGGACAAGGATGGGGGTCTTCACAAATCCAGAAGCTGCCAGGGCCGGGAGCCGCGGGATGATGGGCTGGGGGAACCGGATCTCCGCTCCTCTCTCCCTGACTTTCCCGCCCCCTGGAGCCAGCCAGAGGGGTCTCTGGAAGGCACCCTGGCCGAGCCCCTTGCACCTGCAAGCCTGTCCAGGGCTCCCCCCTGCCCCGGAGGGCCGGAAGCCCTCACCACCGGCCACGCGGGTCTGGCGCTGCCCACCCATCACCCCACCGCCTATCTCTGCACCTTTGGGTGCTCAGAGAGCGGATCCCCGAGCCGTCCCAGCCAGGGCCACCAAGGCCGACACGCGCTCCCACCCCTCCTCACTCCCAGGGACGGGGCACGAAGCGCCCCGGGGGGCTCCTCCCACCCCTGGTCCAGCAAAGGAGGCGGGTGCAGAGGGACGGGCGGGCGGGTCGGTGGCGGGTGGCTTCCCGCCGGGACAGGGGGGCGTGAGACCCCTGCGTGTCCCCAGCCGCGCACTCACCCACTCGGGCCTCAGTTTCCCCGCCGTCCAGCGGGGCCGGGGTCCGGGCGTGAACGACCCTCGGGCCTACCTTCCCGGCGGTGCTCGGCCGGACCCCGACCGCGCCCCCTCCCGTAGGGCGGGGTCACGTGACTTGGAGCCCACCTCCTATGGGGAGGGGACGTAAGCGGGACTCCGCGGTGCGGCGTTGCCAGGCAACGGCCTCCGCCGGCTCTCCAGCTCGCCGCCGCCCCGCCACGCCCCCAGGTCTGATGCCCCGAGCCCGGTCACGTGCTACGGGCCCGCCTCTCTCGAACTAGCCTCGCGTTGCCGTGACGACCGCTTTCTAGACGTGCTCTTCCAGTCACTTGCGCCGGCTCGGGATCCCTCGTGATTCGACATCTTTCTGGGTCACCTCAGGCTTCACTCCAGACCCCTGAGGCCTCTTACCCCTCGGCCGCCTGGGCCGGGCCGGACTACATTTCCCAGAGGCCCCTGCGGAGGAGCCGGAGGCGAAACAAGGCACCACTTCCAGAAGCTTTTGCGGCAGACGAGGAGGACTACACTTCCCAGAGGACTGTGCGGCGCCGAGACCGGAAGCGGCGGGCGAGTGCAGTGTCCTTGCGCGCGGAACGGAGCGACCATGGTGTCGCGAGTGTGGTCGGTGATGAGGTGCGTGGGGCTTCGGGCGGTCCCCTTCCTGCGGGTACCTACTCGGCCGGTTCCCCGAGGTGTCAGTCCCCTCTCCCTGGCCGACGTAGGGAATCGGACTCTTTGGGACGGGCCTCGCCGGGTCGCGGTCACCTCCCGCTTCCTCCCTGGTCGCTCGGCTCACTTGCCCGAAAGCCCTCCGAGCTTCAGCTGCCGCGTCTGTGAAACGGGAGTGCCCAGGGAATCCTACCGTTCGCGTTTGTCCCGAGGTTAATGCTCCCAAAGCAGCGAGTGACATACGGGAAGCGCCCGGCGACACTTAGAAAAAACCAGCGGCTTGCCCGCCGAGAGCCCACCCTGGGCAGGAAGGCTCCCGACAGGTTAGGTGTCTCAAGTCTTCATTGTCCCTTGCACTCTGAGGGACCTTGAATAACCCCAGTGTCCATTTTCCAGTTGCAGTGGCCCTGAGTGGCTCTGCTTTGTGCAGTGAGAACTGAGTGCTGTAGCACCTTTGGGCTCTCAGGGTGCCCTTCGTTTCCCCAGCTAGCTGTCAGGCCACATGAGTGTCATCTGGACTGGGAACCCCCAAGGAGGGTCACATTCCTCGTGGGTGGCCAGCAGTACACAGTGAGCTCCTTTCCCTGCGGCAGGTTCCTCCTCAAAGGCAGTGTGGCTGGTGGTGCCACCTACCTGGTGTATGACCAGGATCTGCTGGGGTCCAGTGACAAGAGTGAGGCCGCCCTGCGGAAGGCCGAGGAGGTGGTGCCCCCTGCCGTGCACCAGTTCAGCCAGTACGTGTCCCAGCAGACAGGTCTGCAGATACCACAGGTACGGCTGGGAGTGCGTGTGGCTCTGGGGTGGCCTCAGTCCTCCAGCCTGGCTTGGTGTCCTCTGCATGCCTGGGGCTGCTGGGAGGCAGAGCCCTTCCCTGTTCCCCAGCCTCTGCTCCTTTTTCCCCCAGCTCCCAGCCCCTCCAAAGATCAACTTTCCCATCCGCGAGTCCTGGAATTCAGGTAGGCCCTGTGCCTCTGCAGAGTGGTGGCCCAAGGCACCCCAACATGGCTCCCCTCCTGGCTTCCTGGCCCTTCTTTCCTGTCATCCCTCCTCGTGTCTCCCATGGATCTAAAAGAGGCGAAGGGGTGGAGATTCGGGGGAAATGGAGGGGAGTAGAGCCTCCCGGGAGGGCGGGGCTGTTGTTGCCTGGTAGAATGGGGGCAGGTGGCCAGGGCCACCCTGGAGCTTGGCCCATGTGCTTGGGCCTAGGAGCAAGACCCTGCCCTGCGTCTGCTTCAGTTGCCGGTTGGAAGTTTGGTCTCTAAAACAGACTTGCCTCCCGGGCTTCGCTGAGGCCAGGGGCGGCCTGTAGCCGGCTGGAGCCTCACAGGGGCCTCCCTCCCCGCCCGCCCCGCAGGCATCATCAAGGTGATGTCCGCCCTGTCTGCGGTTCCCTCCAAGGCCCAGGAGTACTCCAGGGAGGGCTGGCAGTACGTGAAGGAGCGCACCAAGTAGGAGTTGCAGAGGCTGTCCCCCTGCGGACCTGGGCAGGGTGCCGCGGGCTCCCGACTCCAGACTGGGACCCCACGCCAAGGGCAGCTCCCAGCCTTGCTGGCCCAATAAAGGACTTCAGAACTGTTCTGCCACCTGTGTGCTGCCGGGGGTCACGGTTGGGCCTGAGCTTCTGGCTCCTCCTAGCGGTTCCTTGAGGCTGGACCGGTTCTCCAGCTGGTTTGCTCCTTTGCTGTCACGGACTGTCAGCCTGATGCGGGGCGTCACGGTGGACAGCTGGTCCTGGTCCCCAGAGTGCTCAGGCTCCCAGGAAGGTGGAGCCTGTGCAGGGGCTTCATGATCCCCGGCTGACCGAGCCTAGGGGAGTCAGTCTGAGGGGCTCAGTGCAGTGAGCACCCACAGGAGCCCCAAGGCCACTGATTCGCTTGCTCAGCCCCTTGGGTCTTAGGCCAGTCCTGGTCTCCTGGCCACCACCTTCAGCCACTCTCTCTCTGACAACCTGGTGATCCCTGGAGCGCCCAGGCCTGGGGGCCCTGGGCCTGAGGGACGTCCACCAGAACCCAGGCCCTGCCTCATCTCCCAAGTCTCCCTTGTTCCCGGGGACACTGTGTGTCCCCACTGGACGGAAGCTCCAGCACGGTGGGTCTGTCTAAGGTTCCTGGGAAGCCCCTGGTACCCAGCCACAGAGTGTGTCCCCATGGCTGGTGATGGCAAGAAATCAGTGTCAGGAAACCAGAGGGCAGTCTCCCGGGAAGGAGATCAGCCTGGGTGGGAGTCGGGTTCCTTCCCAGGATGCTGTGCCAGGCCAGGGAGCAGGGAGCAGGATCCCCATTCCTAGGAGTTTTGGGGATCAGGCGAGAGAGCTCAGCAGGGGACAGATATTAGAGGTGAAGGGAGCAGAGGACTGGGCAGCTATCCAGGCTGTCTGACTTGAACTTGTCTGTCCCCGAGAGGAGCCAGCAGGCATCCATTGGCCTGAGTGGGGAACAGGGCAGGGTGTGGCTGGGAATGCCTGGGCAGGGGACGCGCAGCCCATAGGTCCTGTGCCACTGAGACCCAGAAATGGGGACTCCCTCACTTCATCATTGGGAAGCCACATGGCTCCTTGTGCCCCTCTTGCCCTTGATAGCCCTTGGTGAGGGTGGAATGAGGGGGACTGGCGAGGATCCCTGTCCCCTGGTGCTGTGGAGGAAGAAACCCATGCCCTGCCGGGCCTGTCTACCAAGCCCTTCCAGCAGCCCTGGGAAGGGACAGGCTCCCAGGCCTGTTCTACCGATGACGGGACCTGCCTGGCCAAATGCAAAACCTCCTGTCACTTGCAGCCCAGGCGGTGAGCCGCATCGGATACCTCACACCCAAGGTGCCCTGGTGTTTGACCAGGATCTGCTGTGGCTTGGCTTGGTGCTCCAGATGCCTGGGTTGTGCCAGGTGGCAGCCATTGCTTCAGGTGGCCCCAGAGTTCAGTGACTGTCACAGAGGGGGAGGAAGCCTGGCCAGGAGGGGACTCGCCAAGCTCCTACCCTGTGTCACAGCTGTTAAGGGCCCAGTGCTGACCCCCCACCCCGTATTTTTTTATTGGTGCGCCATAGTTGGACATACTGGTGGCATTTGTTACGTATTTGTGCCTGCACGCAATAGAACAGTAATCTGGCCAATGTCATTCCTCTGTTTTTTCCCTTCCCGCCCGTGATGCGAGTCCCCAGCAGAGCTGATGGGAAAGCTGACCAGCCTTTGGAGGCCGCTGATGGCCCCTGTGGGCCCTTCACCCCCATCTAAGCTGCCGAGTCCAGCAGCTGGGGCACTCTGGTGGTAGAGTGTGCCCTGGGCCGCGCGTGCAGGCTGGGGTTCCAGAGGACAGGCGTGGAGGCCCGCCAGCTAGGCAGGGCTGGAGCCCTTGGCGAAGGCTGTACGCTGGGGTCCTCGGGGCTCCCCTTATCGTGAGAAGGTGAGAGGCAGCGGGGTGGGGGACCGCCAGCACAGGCACCAGGAGGGGCCGCCTGTAATCAGCTGGTCTGCAGTGGCCCCCTGGCAGTTCAGACTCCAGGTGCATTCTGCTCCCCCCCATAAAGGGAGGCGCCATCCTGGGAGGGGTGGGGTGGCTCCTGGCACAGAGCCAGGCACAGGCACTGAAGCAGCACACGTTTAAACTGGAGGCTGAGGGTGTGCTGGGTCCTCGGCCGGCAGGTGGGCCCGTGGTCCTTGTGTTCCCGCCCACCAAAAAATCATAGCTGAGTTCTGCTTCCAGCAAATGCACACTGCCTGGGTATTCAAAGGAAGGGCGTGAGGGGACGGCAGAGCCAGGTGGCGGGCGCTCTCCTTGGTAACCGCACCCTTCCTAGACTAGAAAGCCCAGTTCAGAACTAGCCGCTGGTGCCCAAGCAGGTGGGCGTGGGCTGAATTACCGCTGAGGTTTCAGGCCAGGTGCTGGCAGCTGTGGTCTGACTCCCATTCTGGCCTGGCCTTTCTGGGTGGCAGGCTCCGTGTCATCCCCTGTGGGTGGACAGGAGCTTTGGAGCCTGATTAGAAGGGCACCCAGGAGGCTGAAGCAATCTCAGAAGTGGGTCTGGGAATGGCGCACGCCTGTAGTCTCAGTGACCTGGAAGGTGAGACAGGAGGATTGCAGATTTGAGGCTAGTTTCAGCAATTTAGTGAAGCCCTAAGCAATTTAGCAAGACCCTGTCTCAAGATAAAAAAATGGATAGGACCTGGTATAAGGGTGAGGGTGGCGCATGCCTGTCATCCCTGCGGCTTGGGAGGCTGAGGCAGGAGGATCAAAGCCAGCCTCAGCAAAAAGTGAGATCTGTCTCTAAATAAAGGACAAACAGGGCTGGGGATGCGTGCTCAGTGGTCGAGTGCCCCTGTGTTTGATCTTTGGCACCAAAATAAATAGAAAGTGGGACAGTCTTCACGGAGCTGCCTGCCTGGACTTCCTGTTGATGTCCACACGGCCACCTTCTTCACTGGAGCCAGTGGCTGTTGGCAGAGCCACCAGTGCTTTGGAGATGAGGGGACCCAGAGTGAGGCGAGCCCCACTGTCCTCCTTGCCTCTGCTGCTTCCTGTCAGGCCCAGGCTGGGCCAAATGGCTCGCCACCTTGCAGTTCCAGGTGGGTCCCGCACGGTCGCCGCCTGCTGCTGGCGTAGCCTTCTCCACAGCCCGTGCACTCAGGCTGGCCCTCTGCTGGTCTGAGCTCTTCCAAAGCAGGCAGGTCCAGAGGGTCCCCTGCCTTCACGTGCACTGACCCCTTCCCCATTCTGCAGCGGGACACATCATATTGGCCTCTAGAAATGCCCAGGTGGCTGTGGGGCCACTCTGGTGACTCGCACCTTCCATCCTGGAGCAAGAGGCTTTCACCAGTCGCTACATAGGGACCTGGACGTTGCCCCGGTTCAGGAGGCTGAGGGCATGTCTTCAGACGTAGGTGTGTGCCCATGGACTGAGCTACGCCCACCTGTTCCTCGGTGACGTTACCCCTTGCCCTGTTTGGGATAGAATGTTCCATGGAAACACTCTGTGTGTCCCCTTCTCTTGCTCTGCCCTTGGGGGTGGCCTTCCTAGATGTCAGTCAACCTGCTGACAGCAGACATCAGGAAGCCAGACTCAGCCCCCTGAATCCTGACCCCGGCCTCATTTGCATGGCTTCTCCTCAATAAAAGGGTCAGCACAGGCTCGCCCGCTCTTTCTGCGGACCTTTAAGGTCAGAGGAGCCTTCACAGGACCCCAGAGAAAAAGCTCTCTTTGTGGTTGTTTCGTGCTGCCCAGTTCCCCTGGAGTGACCCTGAGTGTTTTAGTCGGGGGCTTTGGCCAGCAAGCTTGGAGAGCGGCTTGCAAACCCCGTGGGCGTGGCCTGCAGGGAACTCATGGGCCAGTGTCCACAGCCACAGGGGGAGGCCTTCCCTCACCAGAGAGGTGGCTGTGTACTGTGTCCACGGGATGGGGCTTCATGGCACCACGGAGTAGCCAACAAGGTCAGTAGACACAGCAGGGACACCACGACCCAGCAACGCACACAGTGGGACTCAAAGGTACCAGCGCTGCCAGGTGCATCTCTACAGGAGACACTTGGTGGGACAGCTGTGTTCAGACACCCAGGTGTGTCCTGTTGGCCCAGCACCCTGTCTTGCCTGGGAACAGAGCCCCTTTCCAATTTAATGCTCCCAAGTGCTTCAGCCCCTGAGCTCCACCCCCTGGCGTTTCTGTCAGCTGGACCTACTTCTGGAGGATCGGTGCTGAAGTAACTCAGACGCTCCTCCCCAGCTGCATTAAACTGCATTAAATTCATTTTTTCAATGTCATTTGCTTGTTTCTTTCCTGGGCAGGCGGCCAAGTCCCACCTGCCTGGATCTGGGCAGGCTCCCTGGCATGGCTGCCAGAGATGGAGCTCGGTCACGGAAACCGCTGAGCCTGGGCGAGGGAGGGACAGGATGGCCCTGCCCACCCTGTGAGCCCTGCACCTCTGCCTGGGCTTTGGCAAGTCCCTCGGCCCCACAGCCCCACCCCCTGCCCTGAAGCCAGCTGAGCACGACCTCTCTCCACTGGCAGAAACAGAAGCCACACTTTATAAATGAGTAAAGGGCATGTGAACAGAAACACCTTTATTACAAAAACAAAACAAAAAACAATTCACATTGTATTGAGCTACAATATGGCAGCAGATAAAAAAAATGGTTTGTACACGGTTTAAGAGAACTCCTAACAGAACATACTCTGGCCACGTGACAGGAACACAGGATTCAAATTACTTAGTAGCGGCGAGTGAAGCGGGCATCGCTGGGCCTGCTGCCCCGGCTCTGTCCTCCGAACCCGCCCTGCATCCCTCCACGCGGGATCACGTGGCCCCGGGAGGCCCCGCCTGGGGCGAAGCTGCCGCGCCTAGGAAGAAGTCAGGTTCTCGGGTCTGGAGCCCTCAAGCCCTCAAGCCCTCGCACAGGCTGTGGCCGTTCCCAAGCCCCACTCTGTCCTGGGACTGGCAGGCCCAGGAAGGGTAGGCCCCCTGCGACTGCCCAACCCCTCCCGAGCCGCAGCCCTCTGACCTGGAGTCCCACTGGGAAGGCAAGGGGGCTAGCGGGGGATTTTAAATTGTCACCCTGGCAAGCCACCATGCAGAGAAGGAACAGGTGGAGCACCCCAGCAAG